TTGGGCGATCTTGGGGGCCTCTTGGGCCGTCTTGAGCCGTCGGAATGCCGAGATGCCAAGAACCTTCGAATGCCTAAGGAAGATCAATGATTTCGGCCTCTTCGGGCCCTCCTGGAGGACCTCTTGGAGGCCTCTTGGGCCGTCTGGGAGGCCTCTGGGGGTCCTCTTGGGCCGTCTTGGACTCTCTTGGGCCGTCTTGGAGGCCGTCTTGGACCATCTTGGGCGGACTTGGAGGCTATCTTGGACCATCTTGGAGGCCATCTTGGCCATCTTGGACGCCATCTTGAGCCGTCTTGGAGGAATTTTTCCAGATGGAGCACCTTTCGGGGTGGCCGGCGGGACGGGCCGAAGCCCCAGGGGAAGTTCTTTTGCAGAAAAAACCAAAACCAAAACCGATAGGATCCGGCACGCCAGGCACCCCTGCGATGAATCGACAGGGGGGGCGGATCGAAGACGCCTACGGCGAATCACCGCCGCCCCCTGCCTTTGTGGAAGCGCCTATGTGGCCGAACGTTGAGGCCAGACCTGCCAAGCCATCGGAACATGTGTTCCCCGGACGAGGATGAGCAGGACGAGGACGAGGAGGAGGAGGAGGAGGAAACGGACGAATAAGAGGAAGGGGAGGACGACGACGACGGAGAAGACGAGCAGGAGGAATGGGGGGAACAGTCTGAGCATGAGGAGGAGGAATAGGAGGAGGACGATGAGGGGGGGGAGGAGGAGGAGGAGGAGGAGGAGGAGGAGGAGGAGGAGAGGAGGAGGAGGGGAGTAGAGGAAAGGAGGGGGAGGAGGAGATGCGGAGGTGGAGGAGGAGGAGGAGGAGGAGGAGGAAGAGGATGAGCAGGAGGAGGAGGAGGAGGTTGAGGAGTAAGAGGAGGAAAGCAGGGGGAGGATGAGCAGGAGAGGAGGAGCAGGAGGAGCAGGAGGAGGAGGTGGAGGAGGAGGGGGAGGAGGCGGGAGGAGGAGAGAGGAGGAGGAGGAGGAGGAGGGGAGGAGGTGGAGGAGGAGAGGAGGTGGGAGGAGGTGGAGGAGGATGAAGATGAGGAGGATAATGGATATGAGGAGGCGGAGGAGGCGGAGAAGGAGGAGGAGGGGAGGAAGATGAGGAGGAGGAGAAGGAGGAGGAGGAGGAAGAGGACGACGAAGAAGACGAGAATGAGGAATGGGGGGAGGAGCAGGAGGAGGAAGAGGAGGAGGACGAGGAGAAGGAAGAGGAGGAGGAAGATGAGGAGGAGGAGGAGGAAGAAGAGGGGGAGCAGGAGGAACAGGCGGAGGAGGAGGAGGAGGAGGAGGAGGAGGGAAGAGGGGGAGCAGGAGGAGGAGGAGGACGCTTGAGGAGGAGGAGGAGGAGGAGAGGAGGAGGAGGAAGACGAGAAGGAGTAAGAGGAGCAGCAGGAGGATGATGAGGAAGAGGAGGAGGAAGAAGAGGGTGAGCAGGAGGAGGAGGGGAGAGTAAGAGGATAAGGAGGAGGATGATGATGATGAGGAGGAGGAGGAGGAGGAGGAAGATGAGGAGGACGAGGCGGAGGAGCAGCAGGAGGGGGTGATGATGATGATGATGATGATGATGATGACGATGATGATGATGATGATGATGATGATGATGATGATGATGATGATGATGATGATGATGATGATGGTGGTGGTGGTGGTGGTTTGGTGGTTGATGATGATGATGATTGATGATGATGATGATGTTGATGATGGTGATGGTGATGGTGATGATGATGCTGCTGATGATGTTGTATGATGATGATGATTGATGATGATGATGGATGATGATGGCGGTGGTGGGTGAGGTGGTGGTAGATGGAGTTGATGATGATGTTGTGATGATGCTGGATGATGTTGTTGATGATGATGATGATGCTGATGATGATGATGATGCTGATGCTGATGCTGATGCTGATGCTGATGATGATGCTGATGATGATGATGATGCTGATGCTGATGCTGATGCTGATGATGATGATGATGATGATGAGGAGGAGGAGGAGGAGGAGGAGGAGGAGGAGGAGGAGGGAGGGGAGAGAGGGGGGGGGGCCAACATCTGATTCAATCGATCTCACTATCGGTCTCACCCAACGGGACACCAAAGGACACCACGGGACACTTGTCGATCTCATTATAGAATTCACGATCGATCTCACTAAACGGGACACCGCGGGACAACTCTCGATCTCACAATCGATCTCACCATCGATCTCATTATCGGTCTCTGGACACCATGAGACACCTGCCGATCTCACTATCGATCCACTTTTTGGGACACCACGGGACACCGCGGGGCACCACATCGATCTTAGGATCGATATCACGATCGATCTCACTCAACGGGACACCACGGGACACCTATCGATCTCACTATCGATCTCACTATCGATTTCACTTTTTGGAGCACCACGGGACACCTCGGGGCACCACATCGATCTCAGTATCGATATCACTATCGATTGCACGATCGATCTCACTATCGAATTCATTCGACGGGACACCTCGGGACAACACGGGACACGGCGGGACACCGCGAGCCACCGCCTGACGGACGGACGGACGGGCGGGCTGGGGCGAATCATTTGTCTTGACTTCGCCCTAGCAACGGCGGACACCACGGGACACCGCGGGACACCGTGAGCCACCGCTGGACGGGCGGGCGGTTGGGGGAGAATCATTTGTCTGGACTTCGCCTTAGCAACGGCGGGTTCATTCATCTCGCGCGCCCACGCAGCTTCGCTTCGCCCGCACGCACGACACGGACGGAACGAAACGATTTCCCGGTTGGGGGTCTCTGTTCCACTGCGATTTCACCCCCCAACCTCCGACCGTTAGTTCTGAGGGCGAGGGCGTTGGAGGGGAGGCCGAGGGAGCGCCGTTCCTTCCAGTGTGTTGAGTTCCTCGGCACACCCGCGCACCACCCTGCCATGCACATGTTCCGGATGTGACCACACCGTGTGTCCCTGGGCCCCCGCCCCGTGTGTGCGGCCCAAGAGGAGGCTGCTTCGCAGTTGGGGGGCCTCTCCTGCGGGCGCCCTGGTCGGGCTACCCTGGGGTCTGTGTTTCGGCGCCGTCGGCGTGGGACCGCGGGCGGTCCTGGGCCCTCCTCCCCTCTTTGGCACCTGGAGTGCGTGCGGGCCCAGTGTGATTGCGCGTGAGTTGTGAGCGTGTAAGTTGCAACCCTTCGGGCCGGCCTCAATGTATTCCCCTCTATCTCGCAATAATTGCAATCACTACAGGCACGCATGTACATATGTGAACGTTTGAAGAGCTTGGAGTATGTAGGACACACTCGAGTGCAGAGCGAGGTGTGAGAGCAGATCAAGTAAGCACAACAAATATGTGTGTATATGCTCGCGCAGATCACATGTGTATATATATTTATATATAGATGTGTACATACATTTATAAATATTTATTTTTATATATATAACGGAGATAGAGAGGGGGGCAGGCGTGGAGCGGATGCGAGGACTGCAGGAGTTCCAGTGGTTGCGTTTTTCCTCTGGTATAAGAGCTTTTCACCATTGCCCCGTCGGCTCCTGCCCCAGAGCCCGCCCCGTCGCCACATGGTGTCAAGTGCTCGAGCGCTCCGCCTTCGGACGCGGCGCCGGGACCGCCTCGAGAGCGTTGACTTTCGCTGCGCAGCACCAGCGGGCGGCCATGACGGGGATGTTCCGCCGCGCGGCCGCCAGGTCGAGCTTGGTGGCCGCTGGGAGGCGCGGCGCTATGACCGAGGGCGGCATGATCAAGGCACTCCTCATCTTTCCTCCCCCCTCCTCCGCGCTCTCCTCTTCGCCCTCCTCCTCCTGCTCCTCCTCCTCTTCCTCCTGCCTCCTGCTCCTCATCCATCGAATCCTCCTCCATCACGTCCCTTCCCTACGTCACATCCTTTTCCTCCTCCTCCCCCTCCTCCATCACGCCCTCCCCTATCGCATCCTGGCTCTCCTCTTCCTCCCCTCCCCGTGCATCATCACATTACGATTCTCCATCACATCCTCCTCGTCCTCCCTCCCTCCCTCGCCCCTCTGCCTCCTCCCCCTCCTCCGCCGCACCCTTCCACGCCCTCTCTCTCTCTCTCTGTCTCCTCCTGCTCCCCTCAGCCGATCGCCCCGAACTTCCCGAAGACCAGCGAGAAGACGATGGGCCCGCACGGCTGGTGCCGCGGATCCTACACGTTCTGGAGCTGGGAGGCGAACCAGTGCTCTTGTCCCGTCTTCCCCTCCGCCAGCACCTTCTCCAAGCTCCTTCCCCACCACTTCCCCTCCCACTCGTTCACTGCCCCTCTTCGCCCCGCCCCATCCCCCATGTTCTCCGCCTCCCCTCCTCCTCGCCGCGCGCATCAGCCTGCCGTTTCGGGGCGCCATGTGAGGCCCCAAACCCCCTCTCCCAGAGGGAGAGGGAGAGAGAGAGGGAGAGATAGAGAGAGATCTCCCAGAGATAGAGAGAGAGAGAGAGAGAGCGAGCGAGAGAAAGAGAGGGAGAGAGAGAGAGAGAGAGAGAGACAGAGGGAGGGAGAACGATAGAGAGAGAGAGAGAGAGAGACAGAGCGAGGGAGAGCGAGAGAGCGCAAAGGCACCACTCCTTACCGGCGGCGCGCACCCGGGGGCACGGCCGGGGGCGTGCGGACAAGGCCCTCCGAGATCCTGCAGGCTTCCTGCCGGCGGCGAGCCGGCTCACGCCTGCAGGCACGGGGCGCGCGGACCGGACTGGGGAAGCGATACACGCAGGTCGTTGAAGATAGGCATTTGGAGGTCACACCAGAGAAGAACCCCAATCAGTGGATGGTTTGATCGATGAGGAGATCGACCGGGAACCCGGGAACCCGGAACCCACCGACATCGGCCCGGAAGCAATAACCAGGAACCCGGGAACCCGGAACCGGGACCCCGGGAACCCAGCCGGCCACCAAAATCGTCGGGACATTTTCGCCAAATCTTTCAATTTTCGCTGGGACCCCTCAGTGCAAGCAATGATTGGGGAATATCCAGATGCCAATCTAATGTATGCGCCTTCCTACCTCAAGAGTGGGGTGGTTGTCCCTCCTCCCTCCTCTTCAGGGGGCGGGCGGGAGCCCAAAAATAGCCACGCGCAGCGGTGTTTCTTGGAATCCAGATGCCAAGCTATTTTACAGTGGCGACCCATGCCAAGGGGCACCCTGCTTGCCTTCAGGGTGCCCTGGGTTTCTTGGGTGTCGATGGTTCTGCTATGGGAGGCGTGACGCTCCCACGCCAGAAATCCATGGACGTCCTGGGGTCTCAGGGCGGGGGTTCTTGTGGAAGGGTTCTTGTGGACTGGCCTCCACTGTATGCGCCTTCCCACTTCAAGAGTCGAGCGCTTGTCCCACTTCCCTCCTCTTCAGGAAACGGGCGGAAGTCCAATCTATTTCCAACGCTTCCCTATTTCATGTTTCTATAATATACAGAGAGAGAGAGAGAAAGAAAGAGAGAAAGACAAACGGAAAACACCACAAAAAAACACCACCAACACATAGGAGCCTGCACTCCCCGATCGTCGGCCCGCTGTACCGTCCGCCCTGGGTCGTCGGCGGCATCCACAACCCCACGCTGGACCCCATCAAGCACTTCAACACGCAGCACCGCTTCCACACGCTCACCGCCTGGGAGTGTTCGGTCGCAAATCATGGCAGCCTTGGCATACCCTCGTACAGTCAACGCGCCTAGTAAGGACGCGCGCCTTCATCTAGGGTACTTGCCTCTGCGGCCCGTCCTTTGCCGTTTTCACTGGTCGCCCGCCGCCCAAAATCCCAACTGCTGCCTCCAAGGGTCTTGCGTCCTTACCACCTGTCCTTAACACTCGTTTTGATTGTAATTTCGCGTTTCGGGTGCACTAGCGTCGACTAGCGTCTGTTAATCAGTGAGATAGCGCCGTTTCAGCGTCGATGAGCGTCGATGTCGCGTCCATCAGCGTCGGCTCGTCGATTAGCGTCAATTCGTAAGAGCCAGCAAGATGGTATGGGAGGCTCTCATGGGTTGCAACCGAAGGAGTGGGTCAAGTGCTTCTTCTGGGCCCTGATGCCCGCGCGGCCCTTCGTTCTGATGCCTCTCACCCCGTTCATGCTCATCCTGTCCGTGGGCTGCCTGGAGCAGCGCCGCGAGCCCATGGAGATCTTCATGGACCGTGAGAAGTACTGGGAGAACGTCGACGACTACATGTACGGTATCCTCCGACCTCCCTCTATCCATCCGTTTTCCTCGTCCTCCCCATCTTCCCCCATTCTTCGACAAGGGAAAGATTCGGCCAGGCAACATCTGCCCGGTTGAACTCGGCCTGCCAAACTCGGCCAGGCTGAAGTTGGCCAAGGCCGAAGTCAGTCTGGCCACATTCAGCCAAGCCGAGATCAGCCTGGCCGAGATCAGTCTGGTTGAGTTCGGTTGGCCGAATTCAGCCTGGCAGAGTTTCTCCTGGCCGAGCTTAGTTGCTGCCCTTCTCCCCCCTGTTCATCTTCCTCCTCACACTCCGGTGTGTACTTCGACCACCACCACTTCTCCCACCAGCTCTGCCACCGCCGCGCGCACAAGTGGGGCTACGCCGGCCAGGACATCCTTCTGGCGGAAAAGGAGGAGGAGGAGGAGGAGGAGGAGGAGGAGGAGGAGGAGGAGGGCTGGGAGGAGGGGGAGGAGGAGGAGGGAGAGGAGGAGGGAGGAGGAGGAGGAGGAGGAGGAGGAGGAGGAGGAGGAGGAGGAGGGCTGGGAGGAGGGCTGGAGGAGGGAGGAGCAGAAGGAGGAGGAGGGAGGCAATCCAGGAAGCCCGGGGAAAAGGGTCCGCAGTCAAACAGGAGAGACGTTGGAGGAGGAGGAGGAGGAGGAGGAGGAGGAGGCTTCTCGAGGGCCCTCCAAGGGCCTTCAGCGTGCCACTGCAGGCCGCCAAGGGAAGGTCATCCTTCTGGAGGGGACCAAGGGGGGAAAGGAAACGAAGGAGGAGGAGGAGGCGGAGGAGGATGAGGAGAGGAGGAGGACCAAAGGGCGGAGGCGTGAGGAGGAGGAGGGCTATGTGCACCTTAGTGTGTGTTGTACCCTGGTTCGTGGCCGTCTGAAGCCAGCCTTGAGGCTAGAGCAAGGTTCCTGACTACATTGAGAGGAACTCTTAGGCGCCAGATCGGCTACCGGACCGGGCGGTCCAGCTCCCCGTCCCGCTTGTGGGACTCTTCTGTGGTCCTCTTTTTACCACTCTTTGAGCCTCTCGCGAAGCGCTATTGTGGAAAAGGGGGGGCAGGAAACCAAGGAGAAGGACCAGAATGGGGAGGTGAGGAGGAGGAGGAGGAGGAGGGCCAGATTGGACTGGAAGGGGAAGACCGAGGAGGGTGACGCCGACCACAGCATCCTTTTCGAGGGGCAGCGGAGAGCAGGGGGGGGGATGAGCAGGACTGGGAGAAGGACCATCTAGTGGCCTGAGGATGCGCCGCATCCTCTCTCCTTTCCCCTTCACGCCGACGGCGCCGATGCATCGCCGAAGTCGCCGATGCATCGCCGGTGCATCGCCAATGCATCGCTGATGCATCGCCGATGCATCGTCGATGCATCGGCGATGCGGCGGGATCCTCGGACCCCATCTACTCCGACCCCATCCAGGAGGCCTCTAGACCAGGATGAGGAGATTGGAGGAGGAGGACCATATCAAGCCCACGATGCATCAGCGATACTGCAACACACCCTCCCGCCCCCCTAAAATCCCCTCCCCGCAACTCCCCCCGTTCCTTTTTGCTCGCTGCAGGAAGCGCTCCCTGGAAAGGCCAGCACCCCATGGGCCAACCATTTAGTTGACCCCCTTTATGACAAGGAGCTCAAATACACTGTGTTTCTCCAGATCAAGGCTAAAAGTACGGTGGCTGCGACGCACGCCGCGCGAGGCGGCTCACGGGCCAAAATGCTTATGGTTTGGGTGCGCGCTGCGTTGATGTTTCCCCTCACCATGCACTGCTAACTGCGAGCATTTTTGCTTCATGCCTGCTTCGCAGACCTGGCGTGCCACCCGCAGGCGCGCCAGTGCTAGGATATTGGTTTTTGAATTCCAAGAACGGCACCCTCATCCACCCTCCTCGTGCGCGAGATCAGGAATGCGGAAAGCTATGAACATGCAGTTCTGCGAGGTGTCCAGCGAGGTCACGTTTTAAAAAAGACTGGCCCCATTCGTGCACTGGCTGCACAAGCTTACGAGTTGGTGCACTACTTAACCCCTTGGAAAGGGACAGCGAAGACCCACTTCAGAAAAAGGAACCACCCTCTATCTGTGCAGCTGTCACATCTGTAGACACAATTAGTATGAAGCCTGTGGCGCCCAATTGAAGGAAGCTCTGTTTTTGATGCAAGAGGCTTGCGCCACTCCACCGATGCCCAGAAGAGGGAAATAGTCCATGGGTGAGGCCTTTGGGGGCCTCTTGGGGAACCTCTGGGGGCCTCTTTGGGGCCTTTGTCGGCCTCTTCGCGCCTGTTGGGTGTTTCTAGTGGCGTGGCAGGAGCACATCGCCTGGGACCAACGAAAGCACGATTTGAAGAAGTGGAGTAGGGTGGTGCGGAGGGACTGTGCAGAGACAGGGTCCACGGCGAGATGTTGGGAAGCGGTTGGATGCTCAGCCCCATGTGGCAAGAGGCTGCCTCGGAGCACACTGCCTGAGCGCGGGAGCAATTTTGGTGTCATCGCTCGGCAGGGGAAGTTGACGTGCACCGGGTGTCGCACCCCTGAACGAAGGATTGCAAAAAAACCCTTCGAAGGATTGGAACGAAGGATTGCAAAAAACCTTGAACGACGGTAATCCTTCGTTCAAAGGGTTTTTTTGCAATCCTTCGAAGGGTTGTTCTGCAATCCTTCGTACGAAGGTTTTTTGCAATCCTTCGTTGTTCCCCATATCCTAAGATGGGGTTCTTGTTCCCCATATCCAAAGATGGGGTTCTTGTTATTGGCGGACCGCGCCGGGAGGACACAGAACAGGACAGAACACCACACCCATCACTCAGACACACACGTAAGTTATTCCCCATATCCTAAGATGGGGTTCTTGATTCCCCATATCCAAAGATGGGGTTTTTGATTCCCCACTCACTCATCACTCAGACTCACTCATCAAGACTCACTCATCACTCAGACTCAGTCCTCACTCAGACACACCACTCATCACTCAGACTCACCACTCAGATTCACTCATCACTCAGACTCACTCATGCTCTCTCATCACTCAGACTCAGTCATCACTCAGACTCAGGCGATTCGCTCGTCTCAGCAATCTAAGGGGGGCGGCGGGGGGGTATTTCACGGGGTCCCGTTCGCGGAATTTTGTGGGGATGTCTCAGGCGGTTTGGCCATTTTCTGATCCAACATGTTTCGTTTTCGGAGCAGATTTGGAGGATGTCTCAGGCGATTCGCTCGTCTCAGCACTCTAAGGGGGGCGGCGGGGGGGTATTTCACGGGGTCCCGTTCGCGGAATTTTGTGGGGATGTCTCGGCGGTTTGCTTGTTTTCTGTGCCGACATCCTTCGCTTTCGGAGCAGATTTGGAGGATGTCTCGAGCGAGGCGCTCATTTTCACCCCCCAGGTGGGCCAGATTTTGAGGATGTCTCGATCGGTTTGCTTGTTTTGGTGGCCAGGCTCGTGGGCGCAGATTCTTCTCAGGATGCCACAGGTGGCTCCAACAGGCTCCAGGAGGCCCCAGGAGACCACATGAGGTCCCAGGAGGCATCAGGAGGCCACAGAAAGACTCAAGAGGCCACAGGATGTCCCAAGAGGCTCCATGGAGGCCCCAGGAAGCTCCAGAAGGATCAGGAAACCACAGGAGGCCCCAGGATGGCAACAGGAAACGCAGGAGGCCTCGGAAGGCAACAGGAGGCCCCGAGAGGCCCCAGGAGGAGGAGGCCCCAGAAGGCAACAGGAGTGGCTCCAATCACATGTGTTTTACGTATGACTCCTATCGATTGGGCCTCACCTGGAGCACGATTCTTTGATGTTCTACGTATGTTTCTATAGATTGTCCTTCTCCTGTGTACACACTCATACATGTTTTTACTCATGTTCCTATATATTGGGCCTCTCCTGGGGAACGAGTCCTTGGTGTTTTACGCGTGTTCCTATAGATTGCCCTTCTGTGGCTCTAATCCCTCCGTAGCCATTTTGGCTCATGCCTGGCGCGCGCTGGTTCAAGGGTGGCCCTCTGGCGAAAGCCTATTGGGCGCCCTTCGCTCCGCGCGCTCCGCATGATGGCTCGGGGGGCGGCTGCAGGAAGCTGCCCGTGGCGTTCCTCGCGGGACCGCAGGCTGGCTCGGCGCCGTGCCCGCGATGCCTGCGAGCGCGGGCTCTGGAGAGCCCTGCGCGGCCGTGGAGACCCGCCCTGTCGCGGCACCGCGCTCGTGTCCCTGGCGGAGGATGTCGACAGGCGCGAGAGGTTGTCGCGGGGGGTGCTCGTCTCTAGGATCCTCGGTTCGCGAACAGCTCATGGCGACGTGCTCATCAGGAACTGCTCCCAGCACGCACGGGACCTTCCCGCGGACGGGGCAGGGGCAGCGCAGTGGCGGGCAGCCGCGCGCGGTCCACGACTCGGCGCTGGAAGCTTTCCTGCTGCTGGTGTTCTTGAATTTCTTCCTAGTGCTGGGCGCTGGGAAGCACTGCATGATGATCGCCTTCCGGCACCGGTGGCGCAGGTCTGCTGCGCGTTCGAGGACGTCGTCGACAGCACCTCCCCCGTCCAGGAGGAGGAGCTGGCTCCCGCCGATGCCTCGGAGCGTGGCTCGTCTCATGCAGGCTGTGCTCTGGGCGGCTCCGCGTCCGCCGCCGCGCCTTCGGCGTTGCGGGCCGACGCTCCAGAGTTCTCGCCCGTCGTCCAGGAGCTGTTTCCGTGTGTCGAGGAGGCCAACTACACTCTGGCAGAGCGCTCGGCGTCTCCCGTGGTGGACTCTCCTTTCCCGAGGTGCACCTGCGGCGCCACGGTGTTCTCGGGCATCCCTGCTGCTGCGCTGCCGCCGTTCGTCAGTCGCTGTGTGGAGGGGTGGCCGCGCCATGGTCGCGACGGGATCGCTGGCGGCCCAGGCTCACCAAGTACATCCAGCAGCGTGCACGGCGACTCGTCGATGTGCTGCTCGTCGTCTTCCTCGTCGTTGACGACCGTGCAGAGTGGTGAACGCTTCTCGGGCGTCCCCCTGCTCGAGCTCTGCTACCGTGGGCGCAAGGCGGCACCCTGGTGGATTGCTCGTATGGTGGTCTTCGAAGCTTGGCTCGACCCTCTGCTGAATCCTCCTGAGCAGGCCCTCACCCCAGCGCTCGAGGTTAGTGAATCGGCCGACGATTTCTCTGACTTGACGTGGCGGTAGGCCGTAAGTCTCCCAACCTGAGCTGGGGAGCGCCTTCGGTGGTCTGAGCCTTTTCAGGCTCGGCACGGGGTGGATGGTGGCTCGCGCGGCTGCCTCACCTGACGGCGCACACCCACGCAGCGCGGCGTGCGCGCTGCTTCTTGGAGGCCGCTGTTTGCGGGCCTCCTTGCCGCAGTTTGCGGCTCTCGCCTTCGTGGCGGCAGGATCGGTTCGTGCTGCACGGGCTGCCTTGTCATTTTAAAAAAATGTGGCTCTAATCCGCAATGCTTTATGTACGTCTGTTGCTATAGATTGCGCCTCTCCTGGGGCACGAAACCTCCCTAGGAGGTCCCAGGAGGCCCCCAGAGGCTCCTGGAGACCCCAGGAAACCCCAGTAGGTTTCAGGAGGCCCCCGGAGGCCCCAGGCTCATGCACAGAGACGCGCTCGTACTACTGAGGCTCATTCGCACTCCAATTCATTCGCAGTTAGATAGATGCCCAGACCGTCGCAACTGAAGCCCGTTTATATTCGAAAGCTCTTCCGCCTAGACATTCACGGCGGACAGGTCCATGCGAATAGATGCACATATGGGGAGCTCCACGCAGTGAATAATTACTTGGACGCCTCCTACTCCTCCTCCTCCTCCTCCTCTTTTCTCCTCCCCTCCTGTCGGACATACTCAGACTTGCTCATACACAGACTTACTCATACTCAGACTTACTCATACTCAGACCTACTCATACTCAGACTTACTCACACTCAGACATACTCATATACAGACTTACTCATACACAGACTTACTCATACACAGATTTGGAGGATGTCTCGGGCGAGGCGCTCATTTCAGCACCCCTAAGGGGAGCCGCCAGGGGTGTTTGCACGGGCTCGTTCGCGGCCATTTTGTGGGGATGTCTCAGGCGGTTTGCTTGTTTCTGGGCCCAACATCCTTCGCTTTCGGAGCAGATTTGAGGATGTCTCGAGCGAGGCGCTCATTTCAGCACCCCTAAGGGGAGCCGCCAGGGGTGTTTGCACGGGCTCGTTCGCGGCCATTTTGTGGGGATGTCTCAGGCGGTTTGCTGTTTCTGGGCCCAACATCCTTCGCTTTCGGAGCAGATTTGGAGGATGTCTCGAGCGAGGCGCTCATTTCAGCACCCCTAAGGGGAGCCGCCAGGGGTGGTTGCACGGGCTCGTTCGCGGCCATTTTGTGGGGATGTCTCAGGCGGTTTGCTTGTTTCTGGGCCCAACATCCTTCGCTTTCGGAGCAGATTTGGAGGATGTCTCGAGCGAGGCGCTCATTTCAGCACCCCTAAGGGGAGCCGCCAGGGGTGTTTGCACGGGCTCGTTCGCGGCCATTTTGTGGGGATGTCTCAGGCGGTTTGCTTGTTTCTGGGCCCAACATCCTTCGCTTTCGGAGCAGATTTGGAGGATGTCTCGAGCGAGGCGCTCATTTTCACCCCCCAGGTGGGCCAGATTTTGAGGATGTCTCGATCGGTTTGCTTGTTTTGGTGGCCAGGCTCGTGGGCGCAGATTCTTCTCAGGATGCCACAGGAGGCTCCAACAGGCTCCAGGAGGCCCCAGGAGACCACATGAGGTCCCAGGAGGCATCAGGAGGCCACAGAAAGACTCAAGATGCCACAGGATGTCCCAAGAGGCTCCAGGAGGCCCCAGGAAGCTCCAGAAGGCCTCAGGAAACCACAGGAGGCCCCAGGAGGCAACAGCTTGTTTTGGTGGCCAGGCTCGTGGTCGCAGATTCTTTTCAGGATGCCACAGGAGGCTCCAACAGGCTCCAGGAGGCCCCAGGAGACCACATGAGGCCCCAGGAGGTATCAGGAGGCCCAGAAAGACTCAAGATGCCACAGGATGTCCCAAGAGGCTCCAGGAGGCCCCAGGAAGCTCCAGAAGGCCTCAGGAAACCACAGGAGGCCCCAGGAGGCAACAGGAAGCGCCAGGAGGCCTCGGAAGGCAACAGGAGGCCCCGAGAGGCCCCAGGAGCAGGAGGCCTCAGAAGGCAACAGGAGTGGCTCCAATCCCATGTGTTTTACGTATGCTCCTATCGATTGGGCCTCACCTGGAGCACGATTCTTTGATGTTCTACGTATGTTTCTATAGATGGTCCTTCTCCTGTGTACACAATCCTAAATGTTTTACTCATGTTCCTATGTATTGGGCCTCTCCTGGGGCACGAGTCCTTGGTGTTTTACGCGTGTTCCTATAGATTGCCCTTCTCCTGTGGCTCTAATCCGCAATGTTTTATGTACGTCTGTTGCTATAGATTGCGCCTCTCCTGGGGCACGAAACCTTCCTAGGAGGTCCCAGGAGGTCCCAAGAGGCTCCTGGAGACCCCAGGAAGCCCCAGTAGGTTTCAGGAGGCCCCAGGAGGCCCCAGGCTCATGCACAGAGACGCGCTCGTACTACTGAGGCTCATTCACACTCCAATTCATTCGCAGTTAGATTGATGTCCAGACCGTCACAACTGAAGCCCGTTAATATTCGAAAGCTCTTGCGCCTAGACATTCACGGCGGACAGGTCCATGCGAGTAGATGCACATATGGGGAGCTCCACGCAGTGAATAATTTTGCAATCCTTCGTTTTGTTGCAATCCTTCGTTCGAAATAGGAGGTGGGCGCGGTGCGGGGTGGGTGGTCTGAGGTCAGAGGCCAGCCCGCAGGAGGGAGCACGGGCCCGTGCGAGAGCTCTCCGCTTCTCTTCCGGTGGGTGCCTTCGCGCGCCTGCCAGGGGTCGAGCGCTGGCGGGCCTGCCGGGCAGCGTCCACAGAGCGTGGGAGACGCGCGGATCTGCGCGCACCTCCTCTTTCTCCTCCTCCTCCTCCTCCCTCCTCCTCCCCTCCCCTCCTCCTCTCCTCCTCCTCATCCTCCTCCTCCTTTTCCTCCTCCTCCTCCTCCTCCTTCCTCCTCCTCCCTTCCATTTTCGTCCTTCTTCTCCCAATTCATCATCCACAGAGGAGAGAGGGTGAGAAGGAGGAGGAGGAGGAGGCGACGAAGCGGGAATCGAGGAAGACGAAGAGCCACGCGCAGGAGGAGGCGGAAGAGGAGGCGGAGGAGGAAGGCATGGGGGGGGGGGGGGGCAGAGGGGGAGTGACCTTCACGACGAGGGAGGGAGACGCGCAGAGTGGTTGACGAGGAGGGGGGGGGCGGCACGGCGCGACGGTGCGGCTCGAGCTGGCGCGCGACACGTGTTCGGCCGTGGCGGGAGGCCGGAAGCCTGGAAAGGGCAGGCGGCGAACACTGTGGAACAAACGCGCGACACGGATCACGATGTGTGCAAAAAAACAAAGGATTGCAAAAAGACCCAGGATTGCAAAAAAACAAGGATTGCAAAAAAAACCTTGAACGAAGGATTGCAACGAAGGATTGCAAAAACTAAGGGTTGTTTTGCAATCCTTTTTGCAATCCTTGGGTTTTTTTGCAATCCTGTTTTTTTTTTTTGCAATCCTTCGAATAATGGTCAGAGCCCCGAATCATCAGGGGTAACTCGGGTCAGGGCTAACTCGGGTTCGTTTTTCGGGAATCCGAACCCGAGGTACCCCGGGCCCGAGTTACCCCGGATATTTCGGGCGTCCAGGGCCCCGAATCATCAGGGGTAACTCGGGTCAGGGCTAACTCGGGTTCCTTTTTCGGGAATCCGAACCCGAGGTACCCCGGGCCCGAGTTACCCCGGATAACTCGGGCGCCCAAAATGGGTTGCGGGGTTGTTGGTCTGTCGAGGATTCGCGGCACGTGTCCGCTCGTGGCCGCCCGTGACCGCCTCGTGGGCGGCCGCATAGCTTGCATCACAGAGCTTGCATCGCACGTCTTCTGCGGCACGGATCGTTTGTTCCACAATGTTCGCCGCAGCGGCGAACATTATGTAACAAACGTATGACAATTCAGCAGGTGAGCGTTTTTTGATTCATTATTCTGCCGATCGGCGCGGGCCTCGCCCCCCCCCCCCGTGGAGTAGATCTTTGCTGTTTCTGGGCGCCTGCCTCGAGCAGGTGGAGAGCTGTTGCAAACAGTCGCACTAAGCAGCGGTCCGGAGCCAGACCCCCCCCCTTCCGCCCAATGTCGAAACGCCGAGGGCCGGATCCCCAAAAAAACGTCGAGGTATGCAAGCGCCTCGCCGGTTAAGCCGACGAAGATGTGCAAAGGCCTACCATTCGTTTATGTCCAAAGTTTTGGCTCGACGCCGGCGTGGTGCATCAATCTCAGCTTGACCGAACAGGTTGGTTGCGCCCCTTGACGTCCGTTTGGGGTGTTCTGCAGACCTGACCCCCCGCCCCTACTCAAGTTCGGGGTGAATCCCGCCACCGCCTGTGGGTTGTGTGACGCAGGCTTCGCGGATGCCCGTGGTTTTCTGAGGGAAGCGTCCGGGGCGCTTCTTGGAGGCCTGTTGGAGGCTCTTCGGATGCCTCGCAGCAGCCTCTTGGAGCGCGTGTCGGGGCATCTGGCTCTTGGGGGCCTCTTGGAGGGCTTTCCAGGCCTCGCGGGGGCGGCTTGAAAGTCCTTGGGGGGGCTCTCGGGGCCATCTTGGGGGGAAAGGCTCGAAATATCAGTTCGGATTTCCCTTATTGGGTTTTTCTTGGGGCTCTCTTGGGCCGCGTTGTGTGCCCGTGGGGCCTGTTAGGGTCTCTCTCGGGGGTCTCTCGGTCCGTCTTGGGGGCCCCTGGGGCCGTCCGGGGGCCCTCGTGGGCCGTCTTGGGGCGAACCTGGGACGATCTTGCGAGCCCCTTGGGCCGTCTTGTACGTTCACCAAACGCACAAAGCGAGCGCGCTGAAATGTAAGGTGTCCATAGGAGTCGGGGCGACTATTATTTCTTGGGGCCGTCGTAGGTGTCCCGGTGGAGCACTAGTAGGGCGTTTTTGAGGTCACGTGGGTGGTCTGGAAGCCATCTTGGTCAGTTACGATCTCTCTTCGGCGCATCGGAGGCCAGCTGAGGCTTGGGTGTTCGGCTGTTTCATTGAAGGAAGTCCGAAGTCTGAAGCGACAGCATGTTGAAACAAAAAAGCCACCCATCCGTGTAATTGCTGCACTTGTTTAAGACGAATGCGCCCTGCGCTGTTGCTGTAGCCCCGTGCTGAAAAGGAGCCACCCTCGCTTGCGCATGCGTTGCAAATTTGTGAGACGAATGTAGCGGCAGCAAGGCGAGGCTTGGAACTTGGAAAGTTACATGCTGCAGAGTTTTAGACGAGTGTGCGCCGCACTTAAGCGCGAGCCATAATTTGAAAGCTGGCCCCGCTTCCACTGGCGTAACTGTTGCAAGTTTT